TCTCTCAAATAAATAAATAAAATCTTTAAAAAAAAAAAAAAGAATCAGACTTTGGTCTTAATCCCATCTCTGCTACGTATTAGCTGTGTGGCTTTCCAGACCCTTCTTCCAACGTCAGTAAAATAGGGATGCTCGCACCCGCTTTACAGAGTTAAATGCAGCCATCCTTGCAGATGGCACGTGGCATTTGGCAGGTGGTGAGTATAGTAGGTGGCAGCTTACTGCTCTCTCACCTGTGATGTGACCACGACTTGCTTCTCTGTTCAACTTTAAGCATCTTTGCGACAGTGTCTGTATCTGACCCACCACGGATGCCTCCTGGGGACCCTCCCTAAGACCATGCATCTGCATGTGGGGTGTTCAGCGAATATTTGCAGGATGAACGAGGGAGGGAGGGAAGGCGCGAGCGAATAGCTGTCACCACACAGCAGGTGGCCCTTTCTGCTGAACCCTGGGTTTCATCTCCTGACAAGAGGCTCCTAATGTCGCAGCTCTGGCAGAGAGCAGGCTTGTCCCCCTGAAGTACCCAGGCAGGCCGGCAGAGCCTACCCCGTGGTGTTGGCGGGCGTACGAAACCAAGCCCGGCTTGATTTTTCTGGTTTAATGTAAGAGGTGGCCCTCCACCGCTGTCACCGCGGAAGAGAGTGGTTTGCCGTCTCTGCCCAAGCCGAGGGAGAATGCGGGCGAGCGGGGCATGAGCAGGGAGGCCGGGGGTCGGGATTTGGGGCGCTGCCCACAGAGCAGGGCCGCCTGCAGGGCCCCAGGCGGGCAGAGCGCCGGGCTGCGGGTCAGGGGGCTGCAGGCGTGAGCGCAGGGGGCTAACCTGTGTCCTCTCTGTGTCCCCTCCCCGCCGCCCCGTCCGCAGGAACGGCCTGGGCGGCTGCCGGCTGCGGACCGAGAGCGAGCCATCGTGCGGCTCCCCGGTGGTCAGCGGCGACCCCAAGGATGACCACAACTACAGCAGTGCCAAGTCCAACGCCAGGAGCACCTCGCCCGCCAGCGACTCGGTCTCCTCCTCCTCGGCCGACGACCACTACGAGTTCGCCCCCAAGGGGAGCCAGGAGGGCAGCGAGGGCAGCTTCCAGAGCCACGAGAGCCACAGCGACACGGAGGAGGACGACCGCAAACACAGCCCCAAGGAGGCCAAGGACGCCCTGGGGGACAGCGGCTACGCAGCCCAGCACAAGAAGCGCCAGCACTTCGCCAAGGCCCGGAAGGTGCCCAGCGACACGCTGCCCCTCAAAAAGAGACGCACGGAGAAGCCCCCCGAGAGCGACGACGAGGAGATGAAAGAGGCGGCGGGCTCGCTCCTGCACTTGGCAGGGATTCGGTCCTGTTTGAATAACATCACCAATCGGACGGCAAAGGGGCAGAAAGAGCAAAAGGAAACCACAAAAAATTAAAAACAAGTCACTGATTTGTTTTGAACTTTCGGCCATTTGGTTTTAGCATGTCAGGAGATTTCTAATGATTTGTGGCAATATCAGCAATTTTTTTTTTCTTTTTTCTTTTTCTTTCTTTTTTTTGGTTTGGTTTTCTTTCTTTTCTTTCCTTTTTTTTTTTTTTTTTTTTAATTTGCCCCTCCTTTGTTTTGGACCCTTAAGAATTTTATTTTAAAGGAGATTGAAGCCATAGAACTCATATTGACACTCAGCTGTTTTACAAAAGCTTTTCATTATCTGAAGACAAAACCGAAAAAGCCAAAATTACCATTGCTTCCTCCAGCTCTGTCAGAAACACGTGGCTGAATCCGCAGGGACGCCAACGGTCAGGCCACGGGAACACACATTCGGCACGTGTGCAAAGTAATCATCCATCAGGCCCAACCCTCAGGTTTAAAAGGTCAGGATGGCCCCCCAGTTGGGGTCACTGAGTGAATGCGTATAAGGCGACTGGGGACAAGGAAGAACCCTGGTCCCCTGGGAGCAGACCCAGGCTCGTAGTGCGGGGCATCCAGCTGTGCCAGGAAAACTCTTGGCCTTGCCATGGGTGTCATTGCCATGAAGTGTGCAGGGGTGGGTGGACAGAGTGGGGGCGTTCTCCAGTCCTTTGTGCTTCTTCGCTGGAAAGCCTAGTAGCATCTTAGGAGGGGGACATACTGGACCACTCCTTTTACACCAGGTGTCAGTGACAATGAGAAGAAACTGGGTCAGTTTTTAGTGATGTTGCTCATCACTGAATTTTGTTCTGTATTAAGAGAATGTTCCACAAGCCATAAGCCTGAAGGTTGGCCCTGCACGCACACGCACACACACACGAGAGATAGAGAGAGAGAGAGAACTAATGCAGAAAACAAGCTATGTCTTAACTGCCCAAGTGAAAATCAAGTCCAGGAAATTACAGTAGCTGTTAAGGAAGAAAATAATGGTACAGATCTTTTTCTGTCTGTCAAAACTGTTTGATCCGAGTGAGAAAACAAAAAGCTACAGAACCTGCCATTAGTATTGTGGTGTATTTCTAAAAGATTAAAGGCAGATTGATGGACAAACAAAAGTAAAAACATGGCAAAAAAAATACAAAAACAAAAAAGTCCTATCCTGCCCTCAAAATGGAGTTTGCAGTTAATATCAGGATTCATCTTTGCAAAATCAGTGATTTCCACGTTCAGCCAGTGTAGCCAGCAGAAATTTCTGATCCACAGTGCATGGATTCCTTTGAAAAAAGAAAAAAAAGGAAAAAAGATAAAAAAGGAAAAAAAAATCACAAAACAAACTTTTTTTTATTCAAAAATAACAAAGTTCTTGTAAGGTAAATAATGTATTTAGCATGAAGCATGAATTATTTTCATATAAATATAGAAAATAGAGAAAAGGCTATGCCTCTAATTTTTAAGCCCTTAGGCTTAGAGTTTCTTTTGGTTTTCTCTTTTTTTTTTTTTCTTTCTTTCTTTCTTTCTTTCATTTTTTTTCTGTTGTTTTGTTTTTTTTTTCCCCAATTATTTTGTTTTGGTTTTTTGAAGCAGGTGTTTAAGGTTTAACCTTCTTCAGGGACAAATTCTGACTGTTGGGGAATCTTACTCTGCAATATAAAATATCTTCGTGTTCTGGTAGGGCCTGGATGGCGGAGCTCTAACTGCCTTGTCTGCACTTCAGCCCCCGACCCCCTGGTTCTCTGTTGAAAAGTGTGTCCTTTCTCTTTGTCTGTCCATGTTTACCATGACGCAATAATTTGAGGGCAAACTTAGTAGTGAGTGTGTATGATAGAATCAAGAGAATTACGGGACGCTGACTTGAGAAAACCATTACCGTGATTTGGTCCTAGCAAAAAGGCAGTGAATAATTATGCAAATTCGCCGGAAGAAGGGAAAGCACGCTAATGGGCCTTATTGGATGAGGGTGTGAGTTAGGGTGCACGCGAAGGAGGAAGTGACACGGATGTTGGAAGGACCAGCCCCAGACAGTTTCCCTGTGATGCCATCTCGCAGTGGGAAGGAGGGGCCGGCCACCTCTGCCACCTGAGCACACGAACCAACCTGGAATTAAGCCCACCTAGATTATGAGAGCTGAATTTAGACAACCGGACGATGTCACGCAGACCAGAAACTCCTGTTACCTTTGCCTAAAAGAAATTATCTTGAGAGATCCAGAGAGAAATCTCTGAAAGAATATGATCTTCCACCCACATGGAGGGGAATTTTAAAACACAAACAGGAACACCCACTACTGGGGCTCAGGATGTGGTGGTGAGGGAGAGCGGGGGGCACTGGGGAGACGGTGATGTTTAAAGACGGGACAGTCGGGGGCCATCGTGGAGCCCAGTGGCCAGCAGCAGCCAGGACGGAGGGAATGAACTGGCGCGGACCCCGCGCTTTCCTTCCTGTGGGTTGCTGGTAAGAGAACCTGGCGGGGGAAAAAAAGTCTACGCCCATATGACAGGTCAAGTTCAGGACCTGAACCGGAATACTTCCAGCACATTTGTCCCGGGTGTAGATGGGAAAAGGATGTATTACCGAAGTGCCCTGTTCCCTCCATCTCCCCAAGTATCTGACACCCCAAAAGCTGTGTCAGTTGCGGAGCCTGAGCAACACTTTGATACGTGTTGTCACCTGACCAAACCCGGAAGACAACCCCTTCAGCTCTGCCCCCCCACTCCCTTCCCCCCCCCCCAGGATAAAGTTCAGGCTTCCCTCCCGAAAGGCAGAGGTGGACATCCAGGACTGTTTCTGGCGGGGACTTCTTCCAGTCAAAACCCCCGCGGTGGGCTGTCTCCCCTCATTTCGTTTTTCTAAAGGAGCAAAGGTGTCTTTTAGAAAATAATAAAATGCAATGTGTGTGATTTACTTTTCTGATCTCTTTGAGAAATAGATAAATATCTTATAAAAGTGTGTTCTTAACTCCAGAACCACTCTTTTTGCATAAATACCTCATCGGGCAGCTTTCTAAGTGTTATTTTCCTGAGTCTCCCTCAGCACCCGTGTAGAAGCCTGCTGGGTGACTTCTAGGGGAAACTTCAGTGAGGGTACTTTTTTCTATTTTTCTTCTGTTTTTGGAGGCATACACATTATGCATAACCAAAACAATGGCTCAATTGTGTTTAACTTTGTATTTTGATTGTTGAGAAAAAAAAAAAAGTATTGATGTGTATGTGGCCGTTTGTAGTGAATTCATGGCAGAATGAGGTTGTCCGTGTCCTTGCCAAGCCAAGGGGCGGGAGGCACCCTCTCTCACTCCCTCCTCCAAGAGCAGTAGAGGATTTAAGCACAAGCCTATTTGTGAAAGACTATTTTGCTCAAATGTAATTCACTTTAGTCTTGGAATTACTTCCCAAACGTCAGGTGTTCTTTTAGCTTCCAAACTAGCATATGTATTCATGAGTCTGACAGATCGCCTGAGCACCGTTCAAGGGGTGTGGTGTTTTTGCTTTCATTTCTCCTGCTGGGAGAAGGGGTGTTTTCATGTGTCATTCCAGTATCTCACATACTCACGTGGGGCGGGGGGGAGGGGGAGATGGGGAACTATAGCAATATTTAAAGATGCTTTGGAAAACAACCATGAACACATCAGCACCGTGACATCTACAATTACTTGCTGTTGGCCCTCGGACACATTTAAGAGAAAGAGACTGTAGCTCTTTTTTCTTAAATGATATACACATAGACAGTTATTTTTATGCTACTCTAATTGTCTTTTATCTTTATCTAGTACTACGTGGAAAGGGTCTGCATCATAGATTTTTCCCAGCCTTATTATATACCATAAGCTCCTACTTCCCTTCCCTCTCTAATCAATATACTTTTAAGAGTTCTTTGGTAAATAAAGCTGTCTATTTGAAACTCAAATGAACCAAACCCACGTTTAGGTGGTGGTTTGAGATGGCCAAGACGACTGCTGCAGGTTTCAGTCTTGGGGCTGAGTCTTTAAGAAGGGATGTGTCCGAGGCTTTTCCCAAGAGCTGATTTTTTCTCGGAGAGGCATTCAGCGTGTCTGGTCCTTGCTGGGTGCGGCAGTAGCTACCACAGGGCATTCTAGAAGCTGCCGTTTGCACACGAATGGCATTCCTGCCCCAGGGACTTCAGGCTGTGGGCTGTGAAAACCGTCCAGATGGCTTTTGTGCCCAGCTCAGTGCTGGGACACACTGGGACTGCCCGGCACCAAGTGCTACCAACTCACGTTTCAGTGACCCCCCACACTATGCATGTGGGCTCTTAGCCTCTCGTTCGAAGGGCTTTTGGAGAAGGAATCAGAGTTCTGTACAAGTGACCTACATGGGAGGGTTTTCCATACGGGATTGGGTTAAATTCAATGTGACTCCTCTTTTCCCTTTAAACTTGATTCAGGTTGGGACTCGGTTTCTTTCTGGTGGATCACAGCTGCCCAGATGTTGCAATTTATTTTTATGTTTCTGTAGAGAAGTGTTTTTTTCCTTTCATCTTCAGGATTTTTGCCACCAAAAGAACACATTCGAACTCTGTGTCCCCTCTTGATTGTGACTTAACCAGTGTTGACAGTTAAATCCGTAGTGTCGTAGGTCCCAGCCCTCCAATACTATATCAAACACTGTTATGCACATAATGCAGCACTGTGATCTAATTTAAATAATACTTTTTTATTATTTATACTACTATATATAATATACATCAACACTTTTGCTATATAACCTAAGTGATAACCCTCTTTTAGTTATCTGCCAAACTCGGGACTTTGGTTTATATTGCAGTTAACACAGTTACAAAGTTGTAATGGTGTCTTTTTTCTTTGTAACGGAATGTGTAAATCGAAGTATATACATTGTGTGGTGTTCCTGTTTCTGGAGTTTCATGAGGATTTACACATGGCATTCAGTGTTCTGTATAGACCCGCCTACCTTTGTGAGTTCATCTGTTAACCCCTCTTCCTTTGAGAGAGCACCGGAGGTGGTTAACTCCTTGTTTTCTCTCTCTTCTACTGGTTATTCTTGAATTAAGCACAGACTCGTCAGCTCGGTTGCTTTATCATGAATAATGCGTGTGACCTTGAAATTCTTCCACAGTTCAGCAAACAAGTGCTAGCTTCACTGACCAAAAATTAAGGAAGGAAAATACGATTTTCAAAGTGATCCATCTTTTAACGGCCAAAACCGATGTGTCTATGGTGCTGCATTTTGCTGTCTGTCCTACTTTTGAAATCAGACCTAGGTGAAAGATCACTTCTGACTTTACTGTGATATGCTCACAAGTACCCTTCCTGTTCGTTTTGTTAGCGTTGAAATCAAGACTATTTATTTGGAATATATTCAACAGTGTTTTTCCCACTGTATTTCATTTGCAAAAGTTGAGAACAGCCTTCCCTACCTTTTGCAAATAACTGATATTCCATATTGGATTCGCACAGACTTCGATATGGTGAGCCTGTCAAACCTACAAATTGTATTTCATCCTTTCATTACTGTGGCCTGAGTTCCCTGACCTCCACCTCCTTTTTTTAGATGAAACTTAGCACAAGTTCAGTTATTTAAACATGGAGCATTTCTTGAGTACGTGTGTTGAGGCCATTGAAGCTCATAGCTGATTCAGTAACCAGTTTCATGCTGTTTTATTCACACTTACTACTTATTACTGCCATGGTGAAAATGCGGGGTGGGGGGGGGGAGTATCCGGGTGTGTCTGGGAAGCATTAGACACTTGTACATTTTTTTATACTCTGATTCTGTAACATTTCTGAGTTGCGTTTTTGTTTTACAGAAGAAAAAAAAAAATAACAGTGATAAAGCAATCAGAAGACCAAGAGGTTTACTATCGATGCTTAGGGTCGTCTGACCTTTGCTGGCCAATAGACCTACATGGCCAAATTCTAATTTACTAGAGTAATAATTTCTCAAAAGCCAATTTTTTTTTCTGTATTTTCTGTATGAAACTGCCAATAATATCATGAATAGAAAGAGAGAACCATAAAGGAGAAAGAAAGTTGCATCTGTGTTCCCTGCAGGAGCATTGTGAAGGCAGACACAATCAGCCGGACTTTAGGGACCTGATGGTGTTGCTTTGGAGGCATCCATACATGCATTTCGCATTCTTCATATGTAATCATATTGCCAAAGACAAACTATTTCATCATTTATTGTAAATAACACTTTCCCCCAGACCTACCATAAAGTTTCTGTGATGTATTGTCTTCCAGTTGCAATAAAAATTACTGAGTTGCATCAATTGACGAACAATGCCGCGTCGTACTGTGTGCACCGCGTCTCTATATGCAAATGCCGAGCAGTAAAATCATTTCTATTTCTTACCTGCACTAGGGTGTGTGTTCCGTTTTTTGCACTTCAGTTTTAGGGTCTCAGACGTACTTACTGGACCCACCCAACCTCATGCATGCTTCCCTTGTGGTTTAAAAAAAAAAAAAAATCACACACCTTTTGCAAATACGCAAACTCCCAGCCAGAGGCTGGGCTCACTTGTGGCTCTCAGCTCTGGTCTAAAGAATCGTCGGACAGCAAGCCTCCCACCACAGAGTTTAGAGCTTGTGGTTAGACAGATTTTGCCTTTCATCTGGAAGCTGGCAAACTTAGTTGATTATTCTGCTTTGGGGCTGGAGCCTGCCAACCTATCCCAGGTCCTGAGGGTTTCTTGTGATAACTTTCTAACCCTTAGACTTCTCCTATAGATTTAACCTATCACCAATCCATCACCCCTGCAATACCACCCCAAGGTCCAGCAAGGAGCTGGATGGGCTAAAGGAGTGGTGAGACGGTTAATAGCTCATGGGGCACCAGTCACCATGCTGGAGGAGCAGAAAGGGTGTTCTCCTTTGTGATGGTTTTGTCTCAGCAGACCATGTAGATCTATAGATTCCAGCAGCAGCAGTAGGAACCCCAGGGGAGCTGGCCTGTGCCCTGTCCTGCTGGGCCCCCCACATCCACTGGTGTCTTCGAGGTTCTCAGCCCGTAACTCCTGTGGTCGAGGTGTTACTGCAAGATCGGCGAGGGGGGGGGGGGGGGGTGGCGCATCTAGTCTAGTGATCCTACTAGAAGGCCCCTCCCCCTAAGACTTCTCAAAGTGGTCACCCAGGACCCCACACATTGGTGTTGCTGCCATTTACAGTCAGTCCCACTGCTGAAATCACTTACAAAGCTGTGGTGTCACCTCCCGGGTGACAGACCTTCAGTATTTGAGGAGACCTGGTTGGGAGGAAAAGCAGAAAGTCCCTCGGGTCGAATCTGATGAATCAGGTAGTTGACCAAGTTGAGTATGCTTACGGTCAAGTATAACGGGTGGGTGGCCTCAATAAGAAGCCCATATTAAACCTTTTTTATAAGGGAACCTCAAGATGGCTAGAAAAGACGCCCAGTTAGACTGAGTGTCCGAATACCAGAGGGAACTCTGCCCAAATGATAACACCTCCCAGATGCTGATCTGACCTCCAGAGGCTACTGACCATCCCACAGAAGAGAGGAAGGAGGAAAATCTGGTAGTCAGTTGTGACCTGCGGTGAAGAGCAAAACGCAAGGCCTCTGGGCTACAATACGGTGTGAGAAAGGAGATGAGTAGCAAAGAATTGAATTAATACCACAGCAGTAAAAAAAAACTGCCACCAAAGTCAAATTCATCGTATTAGGTATTGCATATTATTTTTGGTAATGATTCATCTGCTACCCTCGCGAGGCCCTTCTCCTTTTTAATTCAAGAAGCATTCATTCAGCGACAGTTCTATCCCGGTGACTGCTGGGTGACAGGGACAGGTGGAGCCAGCCTTGAAGGGGCTTGCAAGCTAATGGAGCCCTGAGTTGGCGTGGAAGGCAGATGCTCAGGCTTAAATGGCACCCCGAAGCGGTTGGGGCCTGTCTTTCTGGAGCAGAGCTTCCTGAGGGGTAAGCAGGGGCAATCTTATTGGAACAAGTCCAGAGTATTGTCAGGTGACTGATTTGAAAGGACAGCACTCAGATGTGTCTCTAAGCTGCTCCTATGTGTGTTCACTTTCTTGCCGTGTATTCACATGCCTCCGCATCTGGGTTCTCTGCCCTCAAGATGGTACCCGGCCGCCCCTTCCTCCCTCTTCAATTCACACCCCAATTCCTTCCCTGAAAAGAGGCCAACAAAGGATGATCAGTGTATTTTATTAAAAGCAGCTTGGTATAAATGCAGAGAAAGAAGAAATCAAAGGTACTA